CAGAATAGGAAAAAAAAAGTACACTCCTTTCTACATAAGAGGAAAGCAGATAGCTAAATTGGATGATAGGCAAAAGCAATTAGTAAGGAAAACTTTATGTTAATGAAGCAGCAGAGCTTGTTAGGTCATCTTAATTATGCATGCTAAATTCTGACTTGAGGCAAAGAAAGCTGTGAAGATTAATAGTTGTAGAGTAAAAGAAGTCTAAGCTCATAACACTTTTTTCATGCTCTACTTTGCTTGGTCTGAATCATGGTTGGCATATATAAACTTAAAAGTATATTTATGCTCCGGATTTTTTTCCTCTTTCTGTGTGCTACTTGTACAGACTCAAAACCAATAAATGAAGTATGTCAAGGTAAACTTTCTCTAAAATAGTACATGACCCCTCTGTTTTCCAGAATATTTTTCTGTTTATACAGTACAGATGACAATATTGTTAGAATTTAACAAAAATATTCAGTCATTATAGTTAAGTAGGTTTTTTTTCCATCTTGTAGGAAAATTTAAAATTCAATTTTTGCTCCAGGCTAAAATAAGCATGAACTCTTCCAAATCTAAAGTAAGAAAAAAAAATCTTAAGTTACATAAATTAAATATTATTATTTTGTTCTAGTTTGTTTGAGTTTTTTACTAACTTACATTATAATTTCATTTTTCAAGAAGAAATCATATTCTGTTTGAAAAAATAATGTGGCTTTATTAACGTCAAGTCATTTTGTTCAAGTGGTTGCTAAGTAGCAAACACTTCCACATTTCAGAATTCAGTATAAACTTGGTGGAAAATAAAAATTAAAATATCATATATCAGAGAATCCTTTAAAGATCCTCAGTCTAGTTAGAAGTTGTTCAGTAACAGGATAACACAAGGGGTAAAAGCTAACGATCCACCCTGTCCAGAGTCTAACTTTATAACAGTGCATTTTGGACTGCTAACAAGTGAAATTAGGTGGTGAGAAACAGGGAACTGCATGACTGAATCAACATTAACAATTACATTTTGACAGATTAGAGACATTTTGGATTTTATCTGGAAATATGTAAGCCAAATTTTAAAAAACTCACTTTTATGAATTGCTGATTTAAATCAGGAAGTGCAGGATCAAGTGAGAATTAACTACAAAATTTATTCTAGTCTGAAAAAAAGAAACAGATTTGGATTTAAAATGCAAAAAGTGCATTCTTTATTTCATTGGGATTTTTTCACCCAACAGTAACAAGAAGAAACAAGAAGACAATGAGAAATAGAGAAATGTTAGATACAGCTATTTCTACTCGCAAGAAAAATAAAGTATTGCAATAGTTTGATCTTTGACCTTCTTTTCTTCTGTTATTTTCTAAAGACGTGGCTTATTACTTGTGGCAAAACTATAATTAACAAATTCCTGTACTTTTATTATAAGAAACAATAATCATGACATATGCCAGTTCCATGTGATGTTTATTTTTAAACGCACTATATTTTCTTTCCATCTGTTTAGTAAGAGCATGGTGATACAAATACAACATTCAAAATAAATACAAGACTGTTGAGAATACTCACACAAGTGTGTGACACGGATAAAAAGACACAAATGTATTGAATAGCAACACATTTAGATTAACATTTCTATGTTATGAGCATAAGTACCATTTTGATTACCCTTGGACCTAAAGAAATATGAGAGAACCATCAAAAGCATGAATTAGATCTCATAGTATTTGAATCACAATAGAAAAACCTCTTCAGTAAAAGTAGACCGGTAAGACTTCCTCAGGGCTTCTATATATCATATAAAAGTATATTCACATTTAGTCTTTAATAGAAATTAGTTTAGACTTTTATAGAAATCATATCTATTTGATTCTTATAAACATTTCAACAAGCACACCTTTTGCGTAAAGAAAGTGTGTATAGTCTGACATAACATGGCTAATGATTTCCAACATTTCCACAGATTTTCTGGAGTCACAGAAAGAATAAAGTCAGTTGTACTGTAGCTACTCTCCCAAATCATAAAACGCATTTAGTTTCTTAGGTATACAAATAAGTAAACATTTATTAATAGAATTATTCAGTATGGAAACATTCATTAAATAGTTTAATTTTGTTTTCTCCAAAGACCATGCAAAGAATCTTAAGAAATTGTAAAAGGAGAGTGAAATATAATGGAAAATATGATTTTCATTACTCTTCCTCTCAGGTGTGCTAAACCATCACCCTTTCCAGAGCTGTGCTGAGGAACAGACTAGAAGCAAAGGAAAAACTATTGTAATTGTACTCAATAGGATTCCCACTTGAAAGCTTAACTTGGAACATTCCAAAGAGGTGAGATGAAATTTTATACCCACTCTTTATTACATTGAGATACTAAAGGTAAGATAATTTTGAGGAAAATTATTAGTTAGAGGTTATACAAGCCTACAGAAAACACCTTGAAACAATAATTAAGACTGGGAACTCTGTGAATCATAAATAAGGAAAAGCAGTGCCAGAGTTATATTGATAGTTCTAACTGCCATAATGGCTAAATTGATATGGTGAAAAAGCCCAGGGTAGAAATACCTAGCACAAACACCACCAGAGTTTGAAGACTTTGCAATCCATAATTACCTGGTTTTACACCAATGGAAAGCAGTGAGTCTTTACCAAGGTCTAAATACATTATCCATGCCCCAGGTTTTTATTTGGCACAACTTTCAGGTGGTTTAAAACCTGATTAAATGGCATTTAGCTATGTTGTTCAAGTTGAATGCACTCCCATTAAGCAGATTTTTTTTCCATTAAGCTGTAGCCATTATCAATCAGCAAAAATTAAAAAAAAAATCCAGTTCAGCCCATATCAGAGTATTCCATAACAGCAATATCTGTGAAGAATCTTTCATTCCCAAGTACATTTTAGACTTTAAATACACATGAATATCAGTGACATGAAAGTCAAATTTTACACACTTAACAACTTCACTGATCCTAAGTCAATAAAATGGTTTATTTTATTCTCAGCACAGACAGAACACTGTGCAGTGATGTCATGAAGTGAATTTCTTTTACACCTTCCAAAAGGACATGCTGTGAATGTTTTTTCTGTATCTAAGGGCCAGATTATAAAAGCTCTGTAAGCACTTGCCGAGATTATTAGCCCTTTAAATATCCTTTAAACATTATCTGCATCCCTCAGCTATTTAAAACCCAGGTAATCAAAGCATATTTAGATGCTTAATCAACATAAAGAATCCCCATAAAATATTCATCACAGTCTATATGAACACTTGGTTCCACTTAGAGCACAGAGGGCTTTAAAGGGTCCAGAAAAGAAACCACTGTGTTTTTCATGCATTTTTTTATATTTTTCTATCCTGAGACAAAGTATTGTCATAAAGTATTATTCTTATAGAGTCATGTACTAGCAATTATAGGTTTCTGCCTCACATCAGAAGCTTTTCTGAGAGAAACGCTTTCTTTACAGTACCACAGAAGATGAAAAACCTGCAACTGGCCCACAGAACTCTATTCTAATATTTATTATTCCATTATTTTTTTGACCATGGCCCTATGTTCTCACAAAGTAACTATCACTACTTATTTGGTAAATATCAATTACATATTTGATCAATGCATAAAATATACAAATATAATGAATGAGAAGAAGCGTCGCAAATTTTAAATTCAAAAAGATAAAAATAAAGGAATGAAAATATTACTGCAAACAAGGAAGTATGAAACAATGGCTTACAATAATAAGCAACTCTTTTATATAAACCAGATGGACACTTCACACAATTTTCAGATTTTTGGGGGTTCATTTGCTTATTTGAAATTATTTAGAGAAATGAACAATGTAACTTTTAAAGTACTGTATGATAGAATCTGTAAAGTTCAGTACAACAGAACTAGTAAATAAATTAAATTTAAAATGTTTGAAATTATCATATGCAAGATATTATATACAAAAGTACATTGAAGAAAAAAGTATTTTTTTCTAAAAATGATAACTTTCTAAAAAACATTAAATTAACTTCATAAAATATTGATTGTAATTTGGTAAGTAATGTCTATATAATCTTTAAACCTTATCAGTAGAAAAAAATTGTTCAAAACATGAACTATGTCATGTGGCTTAATTAACACAGTCTGGACAACTGATAGATAATGAAGATATAAATCTTCAAGAAACAAAATTTGCTTTTTTTCAAATGGAAAGTGAAAAGCCTCAACAACAACCCTCCCTCAAAAAAACAAGCAAAACCAAAACGAAACCCAACAACCTAAATTGCTAAGTGGTCAAAGTGGTAAATCTTTCAATGAATTTGAAGACTAAAGAGGTTCCAATTAGGATATGTTTTAAAATAGATCCCTTCCTGACATTGTCATTCCAGATTTAATTCCAGCTAATGAGCATAAACTCACCAAAAACCTAGTAATGAAAGTTTATTTTCAGGAAGGTAATTGTGATTTTTATAAACAGAACTGAGGCTAAAGAATAATGGCAATGCAAGGAAAAAATAAACAACCAGATTAATTACCTCTCTGAGGTCACAGAAGTGGAAAAGATAGTAAGAAGGTGTTATTTATAATATTCATAAAATATTTAAAAACAAGATTTATATAGATATTTAAAAGTACACATTATTAATGAATGAATCTTAAATTAATAAGACACACAAGACAGAGAAAGAGACAGCTGTCATTAGCTTGACTTTTATCAGGATTTTACGTGATCCCTCGCAATATTTTCACCAGCAAAGTAGGGAAATGTGGACTAGGTGAATTAGACATTTAGAATATGGCACTATAATTTGGAAAAAATATATGGTATGTGTAATTTTGAAAAAAAAAGTAATATAGTCGTATTCAATCTGCAAAATATTAACAGAAACACTGCTGTAACTCCCTGCCTCATGTTAACAATACTATTTGGTTACATGCCTCTAAACCCTTGTAGTAACGAACAAAAAGTCAAAAATTTTTTTAGCTTCCTAAACATATCCTAAAAAAAGGAACCAAACACTGGTATTCATACCGTCATAAATCCATCCAGCAAACCTGAGTCAGGTTTTGGGGGTGCTTGCAATCGCTCCATAGACCACTTTTCAATGATAGATGACACCTGCGTGTTTTCCGTGTTTAGAATTCTGAATCCAGTCATATTGACACCACTGTACCGATAGGGTTCCACATCCAGGGCAAACAGATCCTGAAAAAATTACCATTGTATATTTATATACATATGTCTTTAATACATTAAAACTCCTATTTCAATTGTTGGACCATCTCCCCAGATGAGAGCATGGAAATTTTCAGTCCTATATATGCTAGGAAGTATGTTCTGTTTATTTGGGGTCTGTGGACAAGAAACTTGGCTGACCTTATAGTGGAAGCAATCTGACTCACAGAGGAAAAACCGTCTTTCAGGAAGTGTTAAGTCCAGTTACAGAATTGTATCCACTACTAATTACGCCAAAATACTATAGTAAGCTTAAATATTATTATTGATTGCTAAATATTTTTATTAATCACTACTTCTTGGATTAACCAGAAGTCAGACATCAAATCATAAAATAAACAGAATGAGAGTTTCCTTGCACTTTCAGTCCCTGTGAAAATTGAACATGTTAATCTTAGAAGGATAAATTGGTGGGAGGGGAAAAAGGGGGAGTGGTGAGCAGGGAAAAGGGGAAATGTACACAGCTTTAAATTTAATCAAAGGCATTTTTCACTGCCACCCATTGAACTTCAAACAGGGGCATATCTTTTCCTAGGAATTTATCTTTGCAAGAATAACCTTTGCCAATTAACATGTTTTCAATACATATGTATGTGTGTATGTGTGTGTATAGTTAGCCCTCCAAAACACACAGAGGCAAATATAATTCATAAAAAGAAAAAGAAAAAAAAATTGCATTTTAGCTCAAGAAACTAAACTCAATATTATTCTAATCCTTTGACAAAATCCTTAGAACCAATGTAGAAACAGTACTTGACTTTAGGAAACTCAGGTCTAAGATCAAGTTTTGAACATTGGGGGAAAAAAGATGTAATCAAGGTTATACATAGGATATTACTGCCCTATGACATAATTTTAGTTTTACTGAGCATAGTAATTCTTCCCATAATTTGTACTTAGCCATTTCTCTCATTTTTAATGTGACTTTTGCTGTCAGTTTAGTATATTATAAATTTCCATAAAATGGAAATATTATAACATTTGCCTGAATCTGTTTTGTTTACTGGTTAGACCAGAAGAAGATTAAATATTTTACTATAGAAAAATCAGAATATAATTCGTTATTCACTGTTAACATCACTCAGACCACAAAAATATCAATCAGTTATCAACCACTACACATTTTTAATTATAGCTAATAATTATGATGTAATTTCCCATACATAATACCAAAGATATGCAGGTGTCAAAATTCATTTAAAAATAACCGAATTTGTATCCTCTTTGTATAGAAATAACACATTTTATTGCAAAGGAAAAGTTGAACACAACTAGACCTATGCTACATTTTCCTCTTTAAAAAATTCTCAGTTTTCACCGTGCAAGAGGTTAGAACCTTGGATGTAATTATTTAATCCAAACACATTCATGTTTACACTAGAATATAATAAATATACACAACAATATTATGCATATACTACAAATGCACACAGGTCAGTGTATTAATGAGCTACTGCATTAGACCCTGAATCAATCATGAGGAGATTACACAGAAGACTTGTAAACACTGTGACTGGAAAATTTATTTGACAGGATTTTTACCATGTCAGGTAAGAAGCAATTAATATATCAAAACAGCTGAATTGTAATGCAAGTTCCAGAGGTACATTGCAAAATCAAAATCTATTACATCTTTGTGCACAGTAAATTATCCCTTGATAGTTCGAAGTCAATATAATACTCTAATCTCCTTCAAAAATCTAATGTTCTAATAAGGAACTAAGAGTGACAGAAAATCCTGATTTTAAAATATAGCTTTAAGAATAAAAATTCAATGTCAACGGGCAGCATACTACTCAAAGAAACAATTATCCTTGATAGCAAAATAAGAATTTAAAAAATAAAAAATTCCTTGAAACGTCTATAACCCATTTTTCTGGAGGAAAATATATTCAGTGAGGGAAATTTTATTGCATGCAGTTCTAAATCTATAAGTGATAGAATAACTTACCCTTCTAAATAAGACAGGTATTTGTACAGGGTGTGCCTTTGAACTTCACAAATTATTTTGCTTTTTCTAGCTACTTCATGTTAATACTTTCCATGAACTTGGTTTCTCTGATTCTGAGGTGAACTTCCTATTCTGCCACAAAGGATTCATTTTCATAGGAATTTAAAAATACATGTGACTTTAAACATGGGTCATTTCAAGCATGGTTTTGCCAAGGCACATCTGTCTCATGCTTGTCTTGTATTTTAAGAAACTTAAATAACTGCAATCTAATTAGACAAAACGACCTCTCAAAACAGAGAAATGTCCACAACTATATTTCCTAGAGTATTATTTTACCAATTTTTAAACTGTTTCTTAGTTAGGCTGTGGTGAGCAGCAAAAGCGGTCTTTGTTATGTTTGTATGAGTGTTCTCATTTTTAATGTTCATTTAGTGCAAATGATAGATCCAAGAATTATCAAATTCCTTCTAAGTTACATTTGCACTGGACACCAAAGAATATTGCATAATTCATGTGCCTAAAAAACTCATGTGGATTGTTAAATAAAATGGCGTTAAGATTCATACCAATTATTCATGAATCATATGACAGAGAAAAGCTATCTTGTAAAATGTTGGATTAAAAATAAGGAATATATGAGTAAATTTAAAAACTATCTTAATCTTCAGATACAAATAGCCAAAAGATAAAAAGGACAAAATGCATAATATAAACAATGAATTATGAATTATATACTTAACCCTCCTTCACTGCAGTTAAAAAGTGCAGTACTACAGTCAGTTGGTTTTTCAGGTCTAGCAGTTTCCAAGGCACACTGTTGAACAATAATTAAGCCATCCTGATGAGTTTTCACTGAAAGTAAGAAAACTCAACAGAGAAAACATCTTGTACTCACACCCCATTCCAGAGAGACCTTTTACATGTTGTTAAGTAATATAATTAGGAAAGTAACATCTTTGTTAGATGTCATCAGTATGTTTTTATAAGTCACTTACCAGTGTGGTAAAGATATAGTGATAGTATTCTGTCATCATTCCCATAGCTAAAGCCTTGGAAAAATAAACAAAAGATTAATTTTTCTGAGGTCACATAATACATTTTTATCACACTTACGTGGCAAATGAAAAGTTGCAAAAGAATACTACTGGGATCAGATCATAAGACTGGAATTATACTAAAATTAGGTCAAGCAAATAATTTCCTAGAAGTTAGAGAAGATTACTGACTATTAAAGGAATTTATGAAGCAGATCTTCTGATAGAAAGAATATTGTTAGACTGTTTAGTCCAGTAAATGTGAAAGAGGCTTGTATTTTTACATACTAATGGATACATTGTTACCACAAAAAAATCGAGTTGACAATATTTTCATTCATTATTGAACTCTTCCTTTAAAATTAATAACCTCATAGGAATTTCCTTTTTCTATTTTGATGAACAATACTATGCATATAAAAGAAGGACTCAAGCTTATATTGTACATGTACATTTTTTCAACCATAGAAGAAAATTCTCTTGAGTCAAATTTTGAACAGCCAGATACATACTACTTAAATGAAAATGAAGAGCAAATATTAATAATATTATGCTATAAATTCAGATGTCTATCAAGTGCCTTCAATATTAAATAGTATTTGATCAACTGTACATTTTAAATGTTCATACTTTTCTCTTAAATGCATAAGAACAAATATTTGTAGATAAAATTTTAAAGCAATAAATTCTGTCTCATCATTCTTATTACTAAGGGTATTTTCACGTGAAAAGTTTGTATCGATAATCTGCACAAAAGCTACCTTAGATCAGTATAATTTATTCAATCATTTTAGTATCTACAGTGATTTTTATCTAATTTTAACACTATAAAAAAGCTGCAGAAGTAAGCAATATATTCTTCCTTTCCAGTAATTATTGGAATTTTTTCCCAAGTCCCTACCAGATGCATCTCCTTAAAGACACTGAAGGTCACAATTACACAATTCTGACATCAGAATTTGTATACAGAAGTATTATCAGTTTTGAGGGTTTTGTGAGCCTGTTTATTTGTGGCAATGTCTGAAAACTGATAAACTCAATAGTCTATATGTTCTTTTCCAAAGAAAAAACCTAAAATTAATCCAAATATTGGCTGCAGATCAGATTTTATAACATTTTAAACAAGATTATGACAAAAACCACACCACTTTTCCAAAGAATACCTATACTTGTGTATTTAAAATTCCACAACAGTATTAGAACTAGGATATAGTGTTCCAATAGCAATTTAAGTTCTCTTAAACAATGGAAAACCACATTCCCATGTGAAATATTACCACTTCATTAGGAATTCTACCACTACAAATACTGTTAGCTTTTTAAGAACATTTTTTGTTTTGTTTTTAAATAAAACCAAAGTATCTTCCTCTATATATGTAACACATTTGTGGTCACATATATTGCAATTGCTTATATATAGTCAGGTCTTTCATACTCCAAAGAATCCCCACACATCATACACGTGTTCCTTACTCTGCTGTGTGATGATGCTGCCTCTTTTACAGGTCTTCCTTCCTTCTCATTCCTCACTTTTCTAAAGACCTCACTTCTTTTTCCTCTTCAAACACTGTCATTTCTCTGTTCTCATTACTGCAGTGCTTTCCTAACCTTTTAAATCATGTCTGCTTTCCCTGGTTGCCTGGTGATGAGGTTACCGCTGAGGTTTGCCTTAATTCAATTATGCTTGTCTGGTTGATGGGATTTTTTTTCCTTTTCATCATGTATTTTTGGCCACTTAACAGTAGTTGCCATTTCACTGGCCTCTCAAGGTACTTTTTCTTTATTTTCAACTTGTATTCTCTTCCACCAACTTCATTGTTAATTTTTCCAATCATCCTTCCAAGAAGAGACCCCAAATTCATCCCTCCATTCCCACAAAAAAACCCAATCAATTAACATTTAAGAAATTAATATTTTTTCAACAATTACTTATAAACACTATATTTGGAATATTATCACTAAATAATAAATACAGTTTTAGCATACCTTGTGTCAATTTTGAGAGCAAGAGCTCACATTAAGCTCCAGAACTACAAATTTTAGACTTATTTAAAATACTGCAGTATTTGAGTTGAATGGAAAAGTATAAATCTACAAAATCTATATAAAGATCTAAACACTTCTAAAGAATTGTTCCTGTATCTTCATTCTGTAATTTTTAGGATGAGCAAAGTAGTTTGATAAAACAGTCTACAATTTGATTTAAAGAAGCTGAGTGCTTAATCTTGGGTAGTGCTTACTCTTGGGTCCTAGGACATGATTAAAGATACAATGCTTTTAATTTTGTTCCCATTTCCCTCGAGTCATATGTCTTTCAAAATGTAGTATACTGTGAAACAGAAGTTTCCTTTCACCTAAAAACTGCTAGGTACAGTGTAAGTAATGGATCTTGATGGAGTCATTGTTAATATTAATTGCAAATTAATAGTGCCATCAACATATTTTCCATCTGTATTTTTTAGGTTTTAAAATAATCAAATGTACATTTAATGATTTGAGCTAAACAGTTAGAATAACTAGGTTGGCCCATGCTTGCAAAGAGCAAAAACCCCAGCAGAGCTTTAAAATTACTAGGAATTAATAAAAGTTTTTCAATTAATGAAAAATAAAAGAAAGAAATTGTAGTATAAGTATATGCTTGCTTGCACTTTGAATTGTACCTGCAATAATATCCATAAGTACCTTTAATGAGACTCACATTTCCAACTCTTAAATACATTTTGTTTTCAATTTAAACCATAAAGTTTGCTAGCAAACATAATCTAAACGTGAATTAAAGTCACTAAAAGCTAGAAATGTAGAATCCTGTTTTAGTTTAGGTATTCTTCCTATCCTCCTTATTGTAAGTCATAGTTCAATTAAAAAACTGTGTGGAAGATGGTCTCTGAGCACAAGAAATTCCCTATATTTGGTGACAGCTCATTAAAATAAAGATACACAAAGTCTTGCCTTCTATGCATACTTCAGGGTTACAGTAACCTCTTTAATGGGACAAATCCTTTGTACACTGCTACATTGCCAGCTTCTCTAGGAAAACCTCACTGGAATCTGCTTCTGCAATATAAAGCCAGTTAAGTATTTGGAATTCTGCTGTATTTCACCTACTCGTCTTATTCATATTTATATTTACTGCTGTCCTCTCAGTGGAAGACACTAGTGTGACCTGTTGGTAAGATACAATTCAGATATCACTATCTGATTAAGAATAGGCATCTTGGAGACTTCAAATAAAAATAAATAAATAAATAAATAAATAAAGTTTTGTTATATGAAATAACAATAAGCAAGCATTTAAAACCCTGTTTAAAAAATCAATTATTCAAAGTACAAGTTCTTCATAGTTGAAAGACTGATATACCTTACTCTCTGAACATGAACTGATTTATCTGTTTCTTTATAAAACATAATTAAAGAACCTACCATTTGCATCATCAGTAAAATTACCTCTGAAATCCTTGGCTGATTTTCAGTTAGGCCTCAGTAAAACTCACATAAAATTCCCCTGCTTCTTAAATGCCATTAGGTCTGGATAATACTTTTATTTATTAGGGATAAAAAAGATTAAGCCCTCTGAAGCAAAATGAGGATTACCTGTTTCAAGATGCCTGCTGCCATTTCATGGCTGCAGTCAAAGATTACATGGAATTCTTTGCCTCTTTTCATCTCCTTTAGCAAAGGCTTTGCATCTTTCGTGTCAGCTGGTAACTGACGGATTTTTAGTCTTAGGTTGTATCGTGATGGAGCCTTGATGAGCTCTTGTAATCGAATAAGACCTTAAAGAAAACAGGAGTCAAGAGAAAATTATCAAAACAAGAACCTGAACTTCGAGCAGCAGAACATATTATAAGCATTCAAAGTTTCCTGAATTTTTCTCCCTTGTCAATATGTTGCAACAGATATGTAAAAATGTTATTAAAAATAAAAATAAAATACCTGCACTCCCAACACTTTATCACAAGTCTCTTTTTCTTAAGTATTAACAGACAGTATGCAAACTCAGTTAGGATTACTGTAAAACAGATAAATCTTCCTCTAGCATTATCACAACTATGACATTCCTCTTCAAAGAAAGTATGTAATTACTCTAATTCAATTAAAGCAATATTCCAGAGTAATAGTTTGTAATCAGACTAGTCAGTCTGCCAGCTCCCAACTAATCCATCAGGTTTCCACACAAAGTTGTGAATCATTTCAGCTCTGTAGAACATTCTCACATAATGCTGTTCTCATATTTCTATACTGAACCACTTTTCAAGAACATCAAGAGTCAAAAGCAGCTTTATTCTACTGCACAGGTTTTGGAATCAAAACCACCCCAGAACAAAACTTACTGGCTTTAGAAGCGACTTTGAAATTAATTCAATTGTATAAGACACTAGAGTGATTCATAATGTTCAAATTTTCTGTACAAATACTGAGTATTTTTAACATATCAACGGTTAAAAGGAAATCTGATTGTTCTTTCTTGGCTGCAAACTGTTGTTTCAAAGTGTTGTTTACTTAAGAGGACGAAGTCCCTAATATGTATATTTTATTCATATTTTCAGGTGTTACACCAATCACCTTTGCTACACCGATCACCTTTGTTACACCTTTGGAGACAGGATGGACAGCAAAATTGTCAAGGAACTTTAAGGTGGGGTGGAAAGAAAGGGAAAAGGGATGCTGCTTTTCTCTGAAGGAAGTCTAAATTACAAAATTTTACTAAATAAATGTAGGAAACTACACATTGACAGGTCCTTTGATCTACCACTATTTCTTGCAACAATAAAACACAGTTTTGGTCTTTTACCATAGGTCCAAGATTTGTTACACAATGGAAAGAAGTGTTTTGTGGTCTACAGGAGCTTTTGAAGTAAATGTCTTTCAATACCCTTATGAATTAAACATCTACTTCATGGTCGACAAAAAAAACCTGCAGCAGTTGAAAGTCAAGAATTCCAAAAATTCCAACTTTTGTTCTGTTCCAGAGCATTACCCAAGAAGATGAGCTCCTTGAGGTCCGAACTGGACTGTTCAAGAATTATAAAAAGAAAGTCGTAATCTTCATAAATCTTGTCAATATTGGGCTACATCAGAGAAAGAAAAAATCCCACCAAAATTTGAAATAGAGGATTTACAGATGTAGAAACTAATACGAGAGCAATTAAAAACTATCAAGGAGACTACTATGATAAGTATAGTGTCTGCCTGCTAGGTTACCTACGTATCTGAGAGTGATGCAATGACCAATAAACACAGGACCACATTGTGAAGGCAGTACAAAAGGTAGGAAAATAACAGAGAAACCAGAGTGTGAAAACATGCGGAAGAAAGCCTTTGAATGCACAGCTCTTTAGTTCACTGACTGGACTACAGTGTTGGGGCAGCACAGATGTGAATGCAAGCAAATAAAGAAGTATTTATGCCTTCAATAACTATCAGGACATACATAGTAACTCGTGAGATTTCTGAAAACATATTTTATGATAAATTAGATCTGAGACATGAACAAATTCCAGGTGTTTCAAAGTTAATTTTTTTTCCCATCCTCATCAATGTGAAATAAAAAGCAACCTTAAACTTTTCGCGTGTAGTATCGTTGTTTGTGGTTTCTACGTGTAGCAGAATATTTAATTTTAGTAATAGTTACAGTTACATATACTTTCATTTATAAGATTTTAACATATATATTTCACCACATTTCTAGCCACCAGCATTTATAAAGTACAGATAGATTATGGCAGGTCACAAAACACATTCCAGTCTACTAAATGAGTCACTTCAGTAGTACACCTGGTCACCCCCTATAAGGAATAAATCCTTTACTACAGTTTCCAGCTTGCTACGTTCTGAACAGAATGATTTTGGAAAACAAAAACAGTCCCCTCACTTGCAAGGGAATGAGGACATGCTGCTCTGTGGAGGGTGCATGGTGTGGGGTGCTATCTTGAAGGTGTGTCACAGGTGGTAAGTACCACTGCCACAGTCACCCTATAACTCCTTGCTGCAGAGAAACACCTTGCAGAATGAAAAAAGTCAGAGCTGATCACAGCTTTCTCTCACACTTTTATTTCTTTGGTTAATTACTGAGAAGCAGCATTTCTTAATTCAGGCATCAGTGGGAACTGAGAGCACGTAAATGCCTTCCAGTACTGGATCACACTTCACAAGTCGGCTCTTTCAAATGCAAATCAAAGGTTGGAAGTTTCTTTCCATGTTGTATTTACCATTTGGGATGCAGTGTTTATGTTTTATAACATATGCAAAGAATAGTTTAGTTTTACTAGAAAATAAACCCCACCACATTAATTTCCTGAAGAAAAATAACATAATTCACGGGGGTGGGGGGCAGGGAGGGAGGAGGGGAGAGAACACAAAATCAAATAAAAACCAGAAAACAAACAAAATCAAAAACCCACCATACACAAACAAAACCAAACATCATTCTCTTTATGTTTTCCTCTCTGTTATACCTGGATGAAAGCACTGCTGGTTCCAGTCAGTGCTGAGTCCACCTAAAGAGCAGGACAAAACCTCCTGAGCACCAAAGGAAGGTAGCCCTGCTCAAAAGCACTGAAGGAAGACAAAAGCCACCGTTGAGGATGGAGACACCCTCTTCGAGGGAGGGAGCTCCTTTCCACAGCACAGCTCGACTGAGGGGGAGGCAGATGAGGCCATGGTGCCTCACGCCAGGGCAAGCACACCCTGAGGGGCTGTGGCCCCAAACAACCGAAAAAGCAATTATGCAAAAGGCAACAGAAACCATTACACCAAGGGGCCTGAGCCTATTGCTTCCTCAGTAACCTCCCAGGGAAAACGTGAATGGACTGCGTGTAATGTGTAGTGAAAATACAAGATATTTCCTGTCTTCCTAAGGAGGAAAATATTTATGCGATTGCATCCTTCTTTCTCACTAACTAAATCAGTGATTGCAAGCTTGTGTTTACAAGAAAAACCCCCTGATTCTAGATTGTTCTGTCCACAGTGTTTTCCAACCGTTTTGAGCAGTTTAATTTTCTGCCCTTCTTTTCTAGACTAAATATTGAACAGTGAGTCATTATTTGAAACCAAATTAAAAATTAAGCACTGAAAAGTTATAACGTAAAAGAATAAGGTCCTACATGTAAACTGCAGCACCTGGGTCCGTTTGAGGACAGTAACTGCTTTCCAACTCCTGGTTGTCACTGATCTTCTCTTCCCCTGAACACCCTGGTTTCTACAGGGGTAGGTGCAATGGTCAAAAAAAGTTCCAAGGGATCAAAACATTGCACAGTTGCGAAGTAATCAAGCAATCCACATGTGATATGAATAAATTTTGCCACTATCCTTATAGTAACATTCTGTGTTTGGAGTTTGATTTCTCATGGCTATAAGACATCATATGTTGAAAGCTTTTTACAGTAAAACTAGTGCCTTGCAGTAACAAAATTTTTCTCTCTTTAACATACAGTCCTCATCAGATGAAGTCAGACAAATTCATTGTTTCTTTTCATTTTTAGATATTCCAAAATTTGTTCTGTCCATATTTTTACTTTCTCTTAATACTGTTATAGCTTATTTGGATGACTGAAATTCCTAAGACTCAAGGAAGACTGCTTCTTCCTACTGCATCCAGTTTATTTGTGGGACTCCATTTCTATCCTATAATCTATACATATTGTTAAGGGTCAGAGTAGTTTTAGGTCAAACATATATTATCATACATTAACTAAATTTTTTGAGGCACTGTTAGTCCCAAAGTAAGTTTCATTGCTGTTTGTCATCTAACATTAGAGTAAATGGAAAAGCTGATTATACAGGATCAAAGCAACAAGCTGCCATGTACTGAGAAATAAAAGTTTCTAAATCAGCAAGGGACAGTTTCAAAAGGACATGTATATACCTCATTAGAAGAAAAGGTACCAGAACCTCCAATGAAGGGAGGAAGGTAAGTCAAGAACTACAAGGACAAAGAAGCTAAGGATAAAACAAATCCTGTCTTCACCATGATTTTGAACAGATACTTGTCTATAATATTTTTTAAATAACTGATTCTATATGATGAATATATAATGAATATATAAATGAATTGCAGCCCTCGGATGAAAAGCTGACCTCTAATTTTATTAGGATTTACACGATCCCATTCTAATGTAAAAAAAAAAGCAAAAGAAAACCAAAGAAAAAAAAACAAAAACCCAAACACAACACAACCATTTGTTTGCAAAAGCTCCTAAAAAAATCTATTTTACAACAGTATAGGAATAGATGCGTTTTGGGAATGTACTTCCTGTAGTTTCTTTCACCAGAGACACCTTTTTCCTGTCCCTTTAAACTCTCAATTCCTTCTTTTAGCAGCCACTGTGATAGAGCCTTACCTCTGAATGGCTGGGAAGAACGTGGTGTGAGTAACTCTTTCAGAAGCTGCCATCAATTCATCTTTAAGGAGAATCCTGAAGGAGCAGTTTGTGAGCTATCCAGCTGGCATCTTCCTCCAAAGAGATCAATCACATTATCTCCTCGACATGTTCAACTTCAACCAGTCCAGGAAGCAAGAGCCTCAAGTTTGTTTTAAAACCTGTGTCTCCAGCTCAGCAGTCTTGTGGGCCATTGCTATGCCACCTGGCCTGCTCATCAAACTATTTATCATTTCCATTAATGCTGCCTTTGTGCTGCACAGGAAGAATGCAAGCAAATGCACTTTGCAATAGGCTGAACACATGAACCTTTTTCTGTACGAAAACACTAATGCTCTTTTAAAGGCTACTCTTATCTTCAAAACATAAAAATTTCAAAAATATTAATGTACCAC